ATTTGTCTTACAAATATCATCTCACCCAGCCCAGTGCCATGGGTGTAGTAGTCATTCAATATTTTGTGAATGAATGCAACTGAATCCATGAAAGTGACAGAATAAACCTAGAGAGAGAATCAGTGAACTGATCACCATTCTCTGCCAATGACCAGCAATAAATTTTGGTTGAGTTAGTGAAACAGCAAGGAAAAAAAGATAGAAAGAGGAGGGAAGAATAAATTTTCAGATATTCTCTCTTCTAAAATAAACTTCTAGAAGAAGAAAGATAAGTACATTTAAAAACCCGAAAACATGGCATGAAGAAAAAGTAATAGTGGAGCTCTTGGCCTCTCGTTTCCTTCTCCTTTCTCACCCTAACCTACTTTAATGCATATTAAGAATGAATGAAGATATCAGAAAACCCACCTTACAGTATCCATCTCCCACATTCTTTAGGATTTGGAGGAAGGACTTTTGGGTGAGAGATTTGAAGACGTGAAGGGAGTGGACTTTCCTGTAAAGACTGTAAGTGGGAGCCATGAGTACGGACCCCAGAGGAAAGGCAACATGTTTGATGACTTAGAGTTACTTTCTAGTATACACCATAAACTAAAGCAGAAGATGGGTTTCTATATTAAGTGGCCCCGTTTATCAGAGAGGCTGCAGTTCCATCTCTCAGCCCAGATGTGAGTGAAAATCACAGTTTATTAAATATTTAGTTTTTTTCTAATAAAGGTAATTTATTTAAAGCTTGATTTTAGGAGATAATTAAGGGAATTCTTTTGAGATCGCTTCAACAACTCCAAGAGAACACAGTTAGGGATGGAAACAGCATATGATTTAGAATGTGAAAATATAGTATTCAAGTCCTTTTGTTTGTTTGTTTGTTTGTTTTGTTTTGTTTTGTTTGAGACAGGGTCTGTAGCACAGGCTGGGGTGACATGATATAATCATGGCTCATTGCAGCCTTGACCTCCCAGGCTCAAGTGATCCTCCTACTGAGCCTCTCAAGTAACTCAGACTACCATGCCCAGCTAATTTATTTTTTGTAGAGTCAAGGTCTTGCTCTGTTGCCCAGGCTGGTCTCAAACTCCTGGGCTCAAGCAATCTTCCTCCCTCAGCCTCTGAAAGTGCTGAGATTGCAAGTATGAGCCACTGCACCTGGCCAAGATTGAAGTCCTGACTCTAGAAATGTCCTTTGGCAAGTCACTTAATTCTTTTCAGCCTCAATTTGTCATTTGTCATGTGAGAATAGAAATAATGCCTGTTATTTATTTCCTTATTCTCTGAAGACAGATTCATTAAGTATTTACTAGATGTTAGGCACTGGATTTGTATGGGCCGAGGTTACTGAAGAAAGAACTGAGATGTGTAGGGAAACTTGTAAAGTGCAAAGGACTGCACCAGCTACAGTTAAGAGTTTTTACAAAGATAATCTTTGTACTTTGGTGTCTCAGTCTTAGAAATAAAGTATTTAATCCCAGCACTTTGGGAGACCAAGGTGGGTGGATCACAAGGTCAGGAGATCGAGACCATCCTGGCTAACACGGTGAAACCCTGTCTCTACTAAAAATACAAAAAATTATCAGGGCATGGTGGTGGGTGCCTGTAGTCCCAGCTACTCAGGAGGCTGAAGCGGGAGAATGGCGTGAACTTGGCAGGCGGAGCTAGCAGTGACCCGAGATCGCGCCACTGCACTCCAGACCGGGCAACAGAGTGAGACTCCATCTCAAAAGAAAACAAATAAATAAATAAAAATAAAAAAGAAGGGAAAAAAAGAACTAAAGTTTTTAATATGAGTCCTAACATCTCCCTCCAGAAACTACAAAAAGAATTGTGATGCTTTATTTAATCTTTTGTAAATGATTTCTTCTTAAATACTCAGCAATGGTGCAAAGAAGATTGTTCGATTTATAATTCAAATGTTATTTGCCTGGGAAATATATTATCCAGAAATTGACTTAGTAATCAACAGGTTTCAAAAAACCTACAAAAGTAGAAATGCAAAATGTAGACACATTTAAAGTGAGTCAAGTACTATTATATTATTTTAACTTTAAAATGATGACTCCTGTGGTAAGTGATTGCCCAAGTTATAATGAGTTCAACAAGCTTGTTCTTGCGTGATTTCTAACACCACATTTATATTCAAATAGTGAAAGGGCTCCTTTCTGGTAAATCTAATTTGCTGGGTGGACATGATGCAAAAGATAACCTATCTTGACTTGAATACGTTTTTAGGGTTTTGAGGTTTCAAATTTCAAGAAAATACAAGCAATTGAAATTCCAGGCAGAAAGACTCAATGCCTCAGGAAGATATATTTATAAATTATTTATAGTAATTTGGGGCAAGTGAAAATTTCTGTAGTTGTAAAATATAGTAGCTGTAATGACATATTTTGGCCTTTAAAGTGCCACTTTAATAATTACAACTAGATGAACATTGAGAAATAATTTGAATGTCGTATTAACTTAGAATCTTTCTATTCATTGGATGTATCCAAACTAAATGTCATCTTAATTTTCTCTTAATGGAGAATTTTAATATTATTATTATTGCTATTATCATTATGTTGGTACTTTACTGGTTCTCTGTAGCTTAATCATTGGGATGCAGATTTAAGCATTGTTGTTTCTGGAACATGGTAGCCCATTTCATTTACTCAGAAAAATGTTAAATAGCAGGATGACAGAAAGGTGAATGTTATACTAGTACAAATAATTTTATTTACAGCACTTATCATAGTAAAACTAAGAAACAAATACTAAAATGGAATATGAAATGTCTGTGTTTTCACAAATTTAACTGTTCTCTGCAACTAAATTAACAAATTATCTTGATTTGAAATAGAACTCATAGTCTGTAATGAAAGGTGGTATAACCAACTACAGTTTCAGGGATATTTCTTTTAGAAACAGGTTATGCTGCTTCCTAATTTGCAGTTATGTTTGTTGAACTCCCGTATAGGTTTCTAGCATTGTTGGAGCTGGTATAGTTCTCTTCACACCAATGGGAGCCTTTCCTGAAATCACATTTTGTTCTTGTTGTTTTAAGTACTTTTACATACATGATTATGCCCACAGGTAACAGGAAACCAATGTTTCAAAAGAAAAGTTGATTGCATTGCTAGATAATACAGGTATCCTAAACAAGTGCGTGAGCGCCCAGAGGCTTTCTGCTGCTGCCAGAAGTACATATTTTTTTGATTGGTAAGAACTGCCAGATGACGCCTCATGAAATATAAATGCCACAAAGACTCAGAGCTCAATAAAAACCTTCCACTCGTCAGTCTAGAAGGATAAGAGAAGGAAAGTTAAGCAACTACAGGAAATGGCTTTAGAAGTTCCAATATCAGTCTATCTTTTATTCAACGGTAGGTAATTTCTTTTTGTTTTGTTAACTTTGTATCAGTGTAAAATGTGAATAGAATTTATTTTCTCTGCATTAGAGAGAAGTTGGTTTCTAATAGTTGTTCTTTATGGCAAAGATCAGAGTAATGAATCTGTGGCTTAATTTAGTTTCTTATGTCCTGTATGTTTCTTTCCTAATATATTTTGACACCTTTTTTGGGACCTCCAGAATGTTTGCTTTATACAATTGAAGAGTGATTGATACATTTAGTTATCATACTATAGTGTTCTTATTTTTGGATTAATATGTAAATGTATCAATGGTCTTAAAAATTGGGTTTTTATTTGCTCTAAGCCTAATATAGTCAATGGAATGGATGAGAAACTCGAAGGATGTTGCCCTAGTCACATTATGGATTTCAACTGAAATTAAAAAAAAATAGAAATAGGAATAAACAGAATAAGAATACTTTCCATCTGTTGCTTGTACATAGAAGGAGGCTCTCTGTTAAAGATGCTTTTGCCCCCTTAATACAGCAATGACAGCACTGACTGAAGAGGCAGCCGTGACTGTAACACCTCCAATCACAGCCCAGCAAGGTAACTGGACAGTTAACAAAACAGAAGGTATTTTCTTCCCATTTTCATATTTCACAAGACTTTTCTGAAACTTGGGAGAGAAATTTGGAGTGTGATAAAAGCAACATTGGCCATTTTTAATACATATTTTATTATTAGATAATCAACTCTTTTAGCAGGATGCTATTAAATTGAAGTGACAGATAAATGTGCCAGCAAATAATTGCCTTTTTAAAAGGAGGAAGTGAAGCAAATGAGACAAAAGCTGTCTTCAGTTACTGTCTTGAATGTGAAACAGGCCACATTTTCTGCTTCATTTCTGCTTGGTTCCCAATAACCCCTGTGTGTTCAGAGACAGTTTGTCCCCATTTTGGCATTCTTGATGAGCAACATTATATTTTGATCTGTGATTATAAGCTTTGCTGCCAAAGACATTATGGCTACAAGATGAAAAGCACTTTCCCTCATCTTTGGAATGATCTTTTTTTCTTGTTTGCTTTGGGGTTTTTTGTTGTTATTTTAGCATATGCTCTATTTCCTAACCACTTGTACCCAATTTTTGTTATTGATGGTGATGATATATTTTCTTTCATATTTAATTATTATCATGGTGGCTTCTGGATGCTCTTGAGCATCAGCGTTCTTTCTCAAATCTGTTTAAACTCTTAGAGGTGAAACTTGGAAAGCTTGCTGCTTACCAAGACCTATGACTGAGTGGTTATGATTCTTTCGCAAATTGCATCCTAATTGTTATGTGAAGGCTGGCAATGTGATTTAGGACAGAGGAAACAATATCTTGTACTCAGAGTCAGGCAAATAAAGGAAGATTGTCATATGTCAGTGTTCTTCATTTCCTCAATAATTTAAAATTTTAAATGACTGTCTCAAAATATTTTACCCATTTCATTTTTTGAATATCTATTGATTTGCAAAACGAGATCAATGTGGGTTTTAGAACAACTTTTAGCCAACTATTTGTCTTCTAAGCCTTTGAACAAAGAGGAAACAGCTTATTAGAATATAGTATACTGGCCTGGTGCAGTGGCTCATGCCTGTAATCCCAGCACTTTGGGAGGCTGAGGCAGGCAGATCACCTGAGGTCAGGGGTTTGAGACCAGCCTGGCCAACATGGTGAAACCCCGTCTCTACTAAAAATACAAAAATTAGCTGGGCATGGTGGCACATGCCTGTAATCCCAGCTACTCAGGAGGCTGATGAAGGAGAATTGCTTGAACCCGGGAGGGGGAGGCTGCAGTGAGCTGAGATGGGGCCATTGCACTCCAGCCTGGGTGACAGAGCGAGAGTCCGTCTGAAAAAAAAATAAAATAAAATAAAAAAAGAAAAAAGAATATAATATACTGCAGAAAATTAAAGAAGCATAGTTTTCTCTCAATGACTGACTTCGTAATAGCATGCTCAGTACTATATTTTTGTTCTTCCTTAATGGTGAACAGCAAATAAAATTTTTTGAGTTACAAGTAATAATAACATTAAAAAGGAATCCAATACAGTCATCCTTCATAATTGGTTCAACATTGGTTCCAAGACCTCTTCTTCCTGCCCGGAGGGTACCAAAATCCACAGATGCTCAAATCCCTTATATAAAATAGCAAAATATTTGCATATAACCTATAGACACACACCCATGTACTTTAAATCATCCCTTGATTAGTTATGCCTAAAACATTGTAAACACTATATAAATAGTTGTTATACTGCATTGTTTAGGGAATAATGACAAGAAAAGAAGTCTGTACATGTTATGTACAGATGCTTTTTTTTTCAAATATTTTCCATATGAGTTTGGTTGAATTCACAGATGTGGATCCTATGAATATGGAGGTACAACTGTATATCATTTCTGTATTTTTCCTTTACTTTCTTGATGGAGAACTTTAATTTTTCCTTTTGCTTTTTATCTAACTTAAAAATATCAATCTAGTATCTTAGAAAAATTTTTATAAAGTTATGATCATTCTCCTCATTCTTAGGGGAAAGATGAGTCTCTCTGGTATAACTTTTCTTCAGAAATGGCTTAATTCTCACATTTTTCTGCAAAATCTAGTTTCAGGCTTAGTTAATCGAACTTGTTTAGTCTTGAAATAGAAAGCACCCAGCACAGTTTATAATGGAAAATTCTCATTGCCTGAGAATTAATTATTAAAATGATAAATTGTATTCATCCTATTGAACAAAATGAATGTGAATTAGAAGTTAATGTGTGTTCTCACCAAAATAAAGTAATACAGCATAGTATCTTGTCTGTAATCTTCGAATGCCTCTTAAAACTGTTTTTTCCCTAAAAACAAGTAAGATTCGCCTAATCTTAGCAAGGCAAATATGGTGTACCTTTATCATAATGATGAGGAAATATGTTTATTTCTAAAAATGACAAGTAAACTGCCATTGATTCTGCTTGAGAAAAATTTAAGAATCAAAAAGTATACCCCAAAGGACTCAATTATGCAGTTTTACCCAAGGGTCATTCCCACTGCATAAACACCAACAATGGCATAGGTATGTCTTTTGTACATCAGAGAATCAGGAATAAGAATCTTGTTTATTATCTCACAAGTGTAAATTCAAATCTTCCCAAGTGCTGACTTCTCAGGTGTAAAGGAAGAAAATGGAAATATTATGTGAGACCTTCTATATTAATTAGTACTCAGGCACATGTCTGGGAAGCATTGCTCATAATAACCTGCTAAGACTAGAACCAATGCTGCCACCTTTTGGCGAATTTGTTGCCTTTTCTGTCTTACCATGCTGCTTTAAAAAATGAAACAATCATCAATCCACCTCCATCCCCTAATTAATTAATAATACGTCATATGTCTAGATGATATTAACCCAGCCCTTGTGAATACAACCTGCTAAGAGAATCAATAGTTTAAAGGACACAGCACCACCCCCAAATATCCTTAAAATTAAAAATTTATTTACATATGTATTAAAATTTTACCATAAAAGTAAGACACATTTCATTTGCTAATATTGTATCTCCTTTTCCTAGCTGACAACGTAGAAGGACCCATAGCCTTGAAGTTCTCACACCTTTGCCTGGAAGATCATAACAGTTACTGCATCAATGGTGCTTGTGCATTCCACCATGAACTAGAGAAAGCCATCTGCAGGTAAACGCAAAGAACTTTCCAAGTCCTAGAGACAGGAGATGATTTTATGCCTCTGTTGTTTCGTATAGTACATTTCCACACTTTTCTCTCTTTAGTTTAAAAGGGTGCATAATCTGAACATGACTTGACAGGCCTCTACATATTTGAGTATCTAAGGAGTCTTTTGTCTAAACTATTTAATCCTCATTAATTAAAAACATGGTTGCCAGATTAGCAGCATCTCTTGAACCTGGTGCTTTTTAGAAATTCAGGATCTATGCTCTACCCCAGAACTACTGAATCAGAATCTGCATTTTTAACAACATGCAAAGGTGATTTTAAGTTTTGGAGTTGTTTTCAGGATGAAATGAAGGAAACTAAGGCAAAAACATTACAGGAATATGAAGTTCTAGAGCAACTAAGATACTATTTTTATGATCATGATTTGCTCAGTATTCTCCTATGGAAGAATAGACTAATGATTTTGCTAGAGTAAATTATGCAAGCATACTACCTTTTCCCTCTACTAATGAAGGGAAAATATGGGGCCTTCATGATTATTGGAAAATTCACAGCTGCTTCATTGCCCTTAACAGATTGGCTTTCATTTGGCATTTGCCTTTTCAAATTAAATTCCTTATTTCCATTTATTTTTTTTAATTTATTGAAACAGGTTATTTATTTGTATTTCTACCACCATAGGTTTTAAAATTAAACTTTTTTTCTTTTTTTAAAGGTGTTTTACTGGTTATACTGGAGAAAGGTGTGAGCACTTGACTTTAACTTCATATGCTGTGGATTCTTATGAAAAATACATTGCAATTGGGATTGGTGTTGGATTACTATTAAGTGGTTTTCTTGTTATTTTTTACTGCTATATAAGAAAAAGGTATGAAAAAGACAAAATATGAAGTCACTTCATATGCATTCGTTTGACAAATATTTATTAAGCCTCTATAATGTGCCAGGAATTGACATGCAAAATTTTTTTTAATTAAAAAAGAGCTGTAAATCTGGCAAATGTTTCTATGTAATATTTTTCATGCCTTTTCTCATAAACCCAGATGAGTGGTAAAAATTTGCTTCAGTTGTAATAGGAGAGTTTAAAAGTAGTCTCCCTTCATCCTATCTCTGTCTGCCCACATTAAAATTATAAATGACGAGGACAGCAGGCCCCAAGAAAGTAGGGACTAAGTATATCTTGTTCAAAATTGTGTATTCAGTGCCTTACACTATGCCTAGCACACAACACACTCTGAGTAAATATTTGTTGAGTGAAATAAAATTAAGAAACAAGTAAAAACTGAATAAAAATGTGTGACAAACACTGGCCATTTCTTCCCAGACATCAACTGGGGGTATCTTCAGAAGATACTGTCTTTTGCTAAAAACCTAAGAAGATAATCTACAAATAATTGTAATTATTTACATATTCATTCTTAATTCTTGTTTTTTTCCACATGAGTAATTTTTCCTTAAATCCGTGTAACTAGGATAAAGTCAAGAAATAAAGTGAGATACCCTAACAAAAAAATACAAATACATCATTTCCCTTGCTGTACTCTAAAAAGTTGTCATTTCTGAATGACCAAAACTGCCTGTTCAAAATTAGAAAAGTTTATTTTGCTTAACAAATACATCTTAGAGAGAATCAAATCTATATTATATCAGTTGTAGATTTGCCTAACAGACCAAGAAATGTAATAATAAGGAGGAGGAGGAGGAGGAGGAGAAGGAGGTAAGACTTTTCCACATTACTAAGGTGGCACTCTGAGGTCAGATTTCCTAGGAGCAGAGCCTTCAGATGGAAATTGCTGTGCATATGATTGGCTGAGGGAGTACTCTACCTTTATTTTAGGTGAAACCCGTAATAAAGTAAGGAAAGCAGATGGAGCACAAGAAGAAGCTAAGCAAAGATGTGGCTTTAACTGAAGTGTAGCCCCAGTCTGATTCCACAGGGAGATCTAGAATGTGAATAGCAGTGTAGACTTCTCGCAAGGAGAAGAGGCATCTGGATTTCAATATCCCATATTATTCAATCATGGACTCATGTGGGGTAAGGAACAGGGGCTTGTAATCTCCCAGCAATCTCCTGCCAGGTCACTCAGTTGGCCATGCGCAGACCCTGGGAGAAGACTGCTGCCAATGAGCCTGTTAATGCCCATAGCTGCTGAGGGATGGGTTGATCAATGGGTAAAGGCGATCTGGGAGGGACACCAAGAGCAACTGCTGCAGGGTGCATTTATGTAAGCTTCAATGACCTATATGAACCACAGTCAAATTCATATGGAAACCAATGCTCTGTTTCAGGTGTCTAAAATTGAAATCACCTTACAATGTCTGTTCTGGAGAAAGACGACCGCTGTGAGGCCTTTGTGAAGAATTTTCATCAAGGCATCTGTAGAGATCAGTGAGCTCAAAATTAAAGTTTTCACATGAAACAACAAAACTTGTCAAGCTGACTAGACTCGAAAATAACGAAAGTTGGGATCACAATGAAATGAGAAGATAAACTTCAGCGTTGGCCTTTAGACTTTGCCATCCTTAAGGAGTGATGGAAACCAAGTGAACAAGCTGCAGTGACAGAAGTCAAGTTCATTGTTTCACTCTGGGTTTTTTGTTGTTGTGTGGTTATTATTCTCACTACAGAAAGACTGAGTTTCATGTCCCTGGCTGTGTCAGATGTGAATTTTCATGGGAATAATAATCAACTTTGCAGCAAGCCAAAGCAATGCCTTGCTTGGGTTCTTCATGTTCTTACTACCCAGCATTTTTTACCACCTAGATGGACCTAATTCTATTTGCTCAATGAACCTTATCCCAAACTTGTTGTTTTCATGGTGTCTAAAAGAATGTGATGTCAGCTTTTAGAATGAAATCAGTGTTAAAGTACCTCCAGTGAACCAAACATGTGTCTTAAATCTAAGCCACTGAAAACAGAATGGAAATCCCAAGGCAAATACAAATCACACACAGCTTGTAACAACATACAGCCTTTATATGTAAAATACAGAATAAACTAGAGTTTCTGAAGACTGAAGCTATCTGGATATCAAGTCTGAAGTAGGCAAAGCATTTCCATTTCTACATGGATTATAAAACTTTGTGTTGGACTCACTGGTCCCTAATGCTTTTGTTCATCACTTCCTCCAGTTATCAGTGGAATTACCCGGTGACCATTCATTTGGACCGAGATCCTAGAACTCTCCTACTGAATAAAAGTCTACAATTGGCCCTAAAATAGAAACTGAAAACAGGATATAGAATTATTTCACCAGACCACAGCATGTGGAAACTTTCTTTATCATTTTTGAACACTTGTTAACAGATTTGCACATAAGAGGGAGAGGGAAAAAAAATGGAGTAACAGTCAAAATAATAAGAATCAGTATCCAGGCCAAGCGCAGTGGTTCACGCCTGTAATCCCAGCACTTTCGAAGGCCGAGGCGGATGGATCACCTGACGTCAAGAGTTCGAGACCAGCCTGGCCAACATGGTAAAACCCCATCTCTACTAAAAATACAAAAATTAGCTGGGTGTGGTGGCGCATGCCTGTAATCCCAGCTACTCTGGAGGCTAACACAAGAGAATCGCTTGAACCTGGGAGGCAGAGGTTGTAGTAAGCCGAGATGGCCACCCTGCGCTCCAACCTGGGCAACAAGAACGAAACTCCATCTGAAAAAAAAAAAAAATCAGTATCCTTCCTCTTAGTTATATTTCTGCCACTTAATTCAAACAGTCATATGCAGGTTGCTTAATTTGTTTGGGCTTTGGTTTCATTTTCTACAAGGCCCTGGTAGCTCTAAAACTTGACAGTGGAATAAGGAAATGTTTTTCCAAATGTGCATTGCCGGTGAGATCCTC